GAAGTGGATAAAACTGACAAGACACAAATACTGTCAGACACACACATTTGTTCTACCTCACCTTCTGGGTTTCAGTCTATTTCTATGTATGTATTTCTAACCACACAAGCACCCTCTCCCAGACAAGGACACACTTGAGGTGTTCCACTTTCCTTGTCCGTTCCCCTTGGCAGTAAGCTATCATAACGGCTTTGGAGGAGGGCAGCAGAGCGTTTAATTGGGTTACAGATTGGCATTTATGCTCCCAGGTCTACAAGATAGCTCTGCAGCTCTTAACTAGAAAATTTTTACATTTCTGAACAAATCACACTGTGCTCACACTGACCGATGCTGCCACCTTCCTTTCTGGTACCTGGCCCCGCGCTATCATCATGGAGCAGTCGGTTGGTCTTGCAAAGCACAGCAATACAGGAGTTGTTCACACATGGTGACATAAGACCCAGTGATGGCATGTTGAAATGACATGTGGGGTTTGCCTGAATCAGGACTTAATATGATATGGTAGATAAAACACCAAGAGCTGAGCAAGTGACAGAAAAAAGACAAAGAGATAATAAGACAGAGACAAACAGGCAAAAACAGGCAGAGAGAGGGGGACCACACATATGGAGAGAAGTGTAAAACTGAAGCTTGAATGTCCACTGACAGACTTATTTTTGAGGTCAAGTAATCAAGCCAATTTAAATCAGTTATTCAGTTAGTAGTGATGTCTTTACCATGATGTCACACCCTGTCTGTACTGCCTTCCAATTGCATTGAAGGTGACAGAGCAATTGTACTTGCATTGTAGAGTTAAATGTGTCATGTCTTCTTTTTAAACTGAGGTGAGGGTGTGTGTGTCTGTGCGTGACAGATACAGAGAGATGAGAAAGAGCAGTGCGCAGGTGTCACATATAGTCTGTTTGCTCCACAAGTACAAGATGCGATTCTTACTTGGACTTGTAGAGCGTAGTGCTACAGAATGCTACACTGCTGTACCCATCAGCTTCTGGGGTTGAAATTTTAAATTCACTAATTCACTACTCTTGTTCGGTAAAGGCCATATTTTACAGGCCACGGTGGTATATATGACAGCTTCCTATGTGATTTGTTTAGGTTGGCAACAATTTGTCATATTGTTATGGTGAGATTATGTCATGACCTACAAAGTGTGCAACGTCACAATTGATCTTGTCACTTCACAATTGATGTGTTCTGGTTGTTTTCAAACTATGTTAACCTGAGAAACTTGCTTTTGTGTTTGGATCCAAAAAAGTCCTTTCTTACATGTGAAATTTATGAATTAATCATCAGTCACACCACCAACCTACTTACCTCTCTGCTCTGCTGTTTATCTCTTGCAGAGTCCATACCATGCAGTGTTGACCTAAGTCAAGCCAAGCTGAAGTGATCTGTTTTGAAGACTGTCTTCCCCTTCACTCTGCCCTGCCTGACCCCAGATGGAGCTCAAAGTGTGGGTGGACGGAGTGGTGCGGGTGGTTTGCGGCCTGTCTGAAGAGACATCCTGCCAGGATGTGGTCATCGCTCTGGCACAAGCCATTGGTGAGTATCTCTAGCTCTGAAATCTTTGTGCTGTTATTTGCCACCTCCTTTGTCTCCTTGACAGATTACTGTATCTAAAGGCCTTAAGTGATAAAATACCAGCCCTGAAACATGAATTTGATGTGGAAAAACAAGAGCACTTGCACTCTCTGCTCATCCATATCAACCGCTCTGCTGGACGGTCAGAGGGTCAGTTTGGATTTGAAGTGGCTCTCTGTCCCTGTGTCCCCTGGCCTTATTCAAGCCATATGCTGCAAACAACATTGAAAAAAATAACTCCAGATTTAGAAATCTTCTTCCATGAGTGAGCTGCCTGCCAAGCCATTAGGGAGGGATTGCCCTAATTTCAAGGTCCTTATGGAAACTTTACTTTATTTGAACATTTTTACATGCTGTGCAAGTCGTACGCAGCAGCTTTTTATGCCAGTCATCAGAGGCAAAGATTTAAAGGTATCAGCATCATCATAATGCATATGATGTCATTTGTTCACTTAGCATTCCTTGTGGAAAACCAGTGGGAGGAATCAAACCCACTGCTTTGATTACACTCATATAAGGTTTCACAAGTAACTCATCAAGTAATCATGTAATATAATTATTGAGAACAACCAGGAGTGTCATGCAGCTTTGTCAGCTTAATAATAGGGTTGTGATCTTGTGTGGTACATACTGTTTGTTCACTTGTACTCACTCTGTGTTACTGTGTCTGTCCCCAGGTCAGACAGGTCGTTATGTTCTGATCCAGCGTCTGAGGGACACGGAGAGGCAGCTACTGGCCACAGAGAGGCCCCTGGAGTCTTTGGCTAAGTTGGGTCAACACAGCAGTGAAGTTCAGTTCTTTCTGCGGCGCACTGGCCCTAGCAGCAGTGACAGCCCTGGCTCAAAACAAGACAGACCAACTCCCTTGCCCAAGCATCCTGAGCCAGAGCCTTCAAAACATGGCCAGCCTAAGAAAGCCCTGACCTTTAATTTGGGGCCATCCACCTCTCCTAGAACCAAAGTTAAACAGTTAAAGAGGTCTCCTCAGGACTCACCAGAGCAGAGAGCCTCCCCCTCCCCTTCTCCCATCCCCATTCCCCCTCATGTGCCATCCCCCTCTCCCTCACCATCTATAGGCATGTCAAAAGATGAGGTCTTTAGGAAGGTTCTTCAACAACAGGAGAGACTGAGGGCCATTGAAGCCCAGCTAGAAGCTCTAGAGAGAGAGTCACATAATTGGGAGCATTCCTACCCATCTCCCTCTTCCTCACCGGTTTCTGACACCCATTTGCAAGAGGAGATAAACGCTCTGGAGCAAGCAGTACGTAGGAACCAAGCTGAGCTTGCCCACGAGCAGTACTGGGAGGTGGAGCTTCGAGCAGAGGTGGAGAAGGAGCGAGGAATGAAGAGGAAGCTAGGGGAGCTCCATGTGAACTTAGACGACTGTGGACGGCAGCTCCACGAGTTCTCAGTTCACTCTGCTCAGCTGGAGCAAGAGATCCAGCGGGAAAGCCAGGGGGAAGGGAAAGCCAACAGGCCTGAGGAGTCCCTCAGTGCTGTCAAGGGAGAGCTCCAGAGCCAGGAGAAGCAGGGGGTAGAGCTGGAGGAGCAGCTTTCTGAGACTGACAAGGCCCTGGGGAAGGCGGAGTTTCTGCTGCAGGTAAGGAGAGAGGTCATAGTTCTGGAGAAAGGGCTATAAATCCACATCAGCCCATTGTCATTTTAGGGGTGTAGCACTGACCCTCTTCTGCCTGCACTGTAAAACCGTATCCGTCTCCTACCTGCACACTGCAGAGACACTCAAAAAATGGAAAGTAATAATACTGAGTCAAACTGAAACATGATTTATTGTAGCAGTTTGTTATATAATATAAAAATTACAATGACATGAATGCTGTACGCTCATATCCTACCGTTTTTCAACCAATGGAGTTTTTATTGTCTAGCTGAGCTGGTTTGGCTGGTATCGTTTTCTATGATTGTTCTGATCACGTGGATACTAATGATTTTTATATAACATTGGTAGATAATTTTATATTTTGTAGTGTGGAAAAAATAGATTAGACAATTGATTTGTAGAACTAAAGCCCATTTTATTGGATCTACTCAGCCTCAGCTTATCGCCCTTTGCGGTGTCATAGTTTGTCATAAACGTGGCTGTATCAATAAAGATTTAACCCAGCTGGAAGTGAAACTTGGGTTTCCTCATAATCCACATGAAACCTGAGCCTTCCCACTTCATGGAGCTGATGCAGACTATTTCCAGCCAAAGGACTGAACAAAATTAAATTCTTTATTCATATTCTTCATTTGGTACATGGCATTTTAAAAGTTTCTGTCATGGAGCACACTGTAAAAACCCTTGTAGTGCAGTGCTTCAGTGTCTTTATAAGCAAAGATTATCCAAACTAAAAGTGTCCCTTTCTCAGTCCACTCAGATCCAAATGATGGCAAACTGGCTGTACAGCTGATTAAAACATAATGATATGCTCATTTGCTTTTCAGTCAGTCGTCCTCACGGGAACGTGTCTGACTTTGAGGGTGAACCCAGCAGATTTGGCATTTGATTCATGGGACAGAGAGGGACTGTGTGTTGTGATCAATTTGCCAGTTATACAGAAAGTAGCCTGCAGAACAGAGGTATTAGGCTTGTGTTTTTTTGACAGATACCGGCAACAATACTGCGAGTGCTTATAATCCAAAGGTGACCACATAGGCAGGTTGCCACCCACGCAGTCATTATCTGAAGGAAATAAGATGCTTGTATAGCCTGTGAATTACATGTTAATACTAGAAACCTGACTGGTAACAGTACAATAAAGCTCAGAACTGGAAACGGGAGTACGTCTGGCAGCATCAGTCATCAGTTAGCTGAGCCTGCCAGCCATGTGTTTAAGTGCTGGTGGGGCGAGCACAGCGTTCCTGTCATTAGGCTAATAGAGGCAGACCTGCAGGTGTGAACTGCCTCAGCAGGCTGCTTCAGTCCAGCATCAATACACATACAGTATATGCACACAGAGAGAGATGCAGGGGAAGGGGGCTGCTGTTTCCTGTGTAGTGTGCAGAACACATTGATTCGGACTGATTGACTGACTTGTTTGTGGGCATCAGAGTTTAATCTTGTGGCTGCAAAGCTGATGACCCTGTCTTAATGGAGGATCGCTGAACTCCATGTTTTCTGAGTAGATGAGTATCTTTACCCCTGGTATGTGGTCATTTAAGACAACTTTGAAATGGAGCAGGAAAATGATCATTGTTATATACCCATCTATACAGTACATATGACTCAGGCTGCAGGAATTTGATGGCACCTGAAAACTGCTGGTAGTTGTGCAACTTAGCTGAATGGTCTGATGAGACTGTCCACAAGTACCTTGAGACTAGACTTGTAGACTCTGCTGCCCCCTTGTGGTGAAAGGATATGGCAATTGCATGAACAGCAATGTGACCTAAAAGTAAGATAAAGTAGTCTTTCTTTATAAATACATTAACAGATTGTCAATGAAATCACACAGAATTGAATTCTGTGGGAATCACACAGTTTTCCTCACTGATCCATGCTTTCCCCATTTCAGGCCAAACAGGAAGAGCTGGAGGAGCTGAATAAGGAGCTGAGGCAGTGTAACCTGCAGCAGTTTATTCAACAGACAGGTGTCCTGCCAGCACACACCCATTCACGCACAGAGCTTCAGGAGCAACTAGAGCAGTTGGAACTCACACATCTTTTGCAAAATGGACACAGGAACGGAAGTATGAAAATAAAAATAGATGTTAAAGCTTTTCCCCAGCGTTGCATACTAGTCTTTTAAACAGTGATGACTTACCCTTTAAACGTATCTCTTTCTTCCCCTCAGGCCACAATGGAACTCCAGTGGAGTCACCGCCCCGACCCACTGCCAAACAGTTCCTGGGACATCCACGCAACCTGCAAAACCCTCTAGTGTCGAGACTCAACCCTGAGGGTGTGTATGTGTGAGATCCTGCTGCTTCCCAAGCCCATCCTGCTCTACTCCTCTCCTGCCCTGCCCACCCTCTGGCCCCAGAGCTCCCTTGCCTCAGTACTTTCTCCCCCAGCTTGATTGGGTTTAAGGCTACAGCTGCCATTTTTTGCTGTTGGGTACCAGAAGCATGTTTATGGTGGAGGTCCCTTCTACTTCCCAGCCCCGTCCCTATCTCTAACTTTTACAGGCTGACAGACTTCTCTTCTGTGCCTATTTCACAGTATTCTGCTGATTCCTAACTTTTTACAGTTGATTTCATTTTCCATTTTCCCTTGTGCTCACACATCCTTGTATGCTTTAATCCTGTGGGCCTATGTATCCTGTCATGGTGCCTCTACTCCCTGTCCTCCTCCTCTCACTGTTTGCATCTGGACTAACAGTAGCTGCTTTCATTATATTTTAATGAGAACTTCCTCCTAACTCTCCCCCTCTGTAATAGAGAGTGACCTTCCCACCCTCAATTCAACAATTGTCTGCCGACAACTGCTTTTCATGTAATGCATTGATCGCGCTGGGAATGATTGGAGCAGACATTCTGATTGTAGTGCTGTTTTTATATGGTGTCGTGGAAAGATATGAAACCAGTGTCATTTCAGTTTGCCTTTTATTTACTGTACAGTAGCTTCAGAAAGTATTCAGACCCCTTCACTTTTTGCACTCAGTAACCCAGAATGACAAAGCAAAAATGTTTTTAGAAATGCTTCCAAATGTATTAAAAACCAGAATCTCATTTAGAAAAGTATAGTTCCGTACTTTTTAGAAGCCACTTTGGCAGCAATTACAGCTTTGAGTTTTCTTTGGTAAGTCTCTACAAGCTTTGCACACCTGGATTCTTCCTGACAGATCCTCTCAAACTCTGTCAGATTAAATGGGAAGACATCTGTGAACTTTCTGAATGCTTTCTGACGCCACTGTATATGTGAGCGGGAGAATCTCTACAATGCCTTGTACTTTGGTGACGCCCGACTTCCAAAGACCATGAGCCTTTTCAAAGAGGGCTCTGCAAAATGTATTGCACTGTCCCGTTCTTTTCCTGTGTGAAGACTTGGCCCTTGTTTTCCTACACAGAAATGTATCTGTTCTCATTCTGCTCTGCTGGAATACAGTGCAACTTATTTTAGGAGCTTATATCTTTTTACCAGTCTATTTTTGTCAAGCGCCAGGCTAAAAGAAGGGGTACATTTCAAAAGTAGTGCCACAGGGCCATGGTCTGTTAGATATTTTTCTTTTATTTTTTCTTTGGGATGGATGCACTTGGTTTATTCGCTGTCATCACACATTAACATTTGACCTGTCACAACTTGTATTGTGCTTCAGTGAGCAGCATATTTAGGATGAGCTTACTTGTCTAAGTCATAATAATAAGGAAAAAAAAAAAAGGGCACAGTTGTTGTCAGTCTTTTGCCCTATTTAATTATGGTTATCCATAATTGACCACCTAATCCACCTAAACTAATTAGTGTATCACAGAGCTTAACATTATATTAGTCTGTATATTTCTGTATTATGCTGACAGGTCAAAGTGTGTTTGAGTGTGCACTCTCTCCTTGCTTTCTGCTGTGTGGTGTTTTCTTTATGGGATTATGCAGCCGTTCCCTGCTTTAAAGATTACAGATGTCTCAGTGCTTGTTATAGGTACATGCTTGAAACAAGTTCTGTCTCACAATAGCACTCTGACTACTAGACTTCAGTCATAGCCCACAACCTGTACGGGTAAAGAAATTAACTTGTGTCAGACTGTGTTTCTCTTAGCCATGTGTGGATATGTTGACTGAGTGTGATCTTTCCTGCTGTGTCTTAGCTGAGAAGTGTTTTGCAAACAAAGGGATCATCATCCCCACTTATTTTTGTGTGTCTTGCAGTCCTGACATCCCGAGAGTCATCATGGAGATAAAACATGGACCGCAGGGCCAAGGGACACTTGTTCTGTCACTGTCTCCTCTTATTTAATCCCTCTGTTTGTAACTCTAGGCATTATTCATTCTACCATGATATACATAATGTATATACATAAGACAAATATATTTACAGAGTTTTGCTACTGTAAATACTGCAAGTATCTGTATGTAATGTGAAATAACTTAGGAACATCTTATCTAGAGAGCTATGTATTTAAATATAATAAAAAATGTAAGTTGTGTTTTAGATAATCTGTGGTTGTTTTTTTTTATTTAATGACACAGCACATCTGGAAGACTCTGGAGTTAGAGTTAATTCACTTTAATTTAGTTAACAAAAATGTGACAAAATATATCAGTCTGGAACAACACTATCATTTACATCTGCAATATTACAGAATAAAACCAGCACCTGTCTGGCACAGTCCTGCAAAACGCAACATTATATCTGTAGGATTTATTGCAGGGCTGTTGAATTTGTAGGGTGTTCTCTGTTCTGGATACTTGGTGTTTGTGTTATCAAATAGAAGGTTTTAGCAATGACTGAGTCATTGAAAGAGTTTTATTGCATTGGGTTTGCTAATGTCATTGCATCATTCCAGACCTCATTGTTTTATCCTCGTTCATGTCTCTGTGTATTGCTTAAATTAGTAACATTAGATGAGATACCCGCTCTGCAAAGCTGCATTCTTCATCATACAGCTTGTCATTTTGTGGTTTATTTTCACATTTTTAGTTTCTTTTAGCCTAAAGTCAGTTTTATGACGTCTTATCTGAAAGTAATGTACTGATGTTTGACAGAAATGCTCATTTTTGGTCTTGATAAAATGTTCATGGCATTTTTGTCAAATAATCTTGATAACAAACTAAACTAAAACTAAAATTTCAAATATTTTTGTCAACTAAAACTAGACCTAAACGTTTTTTTTCACTAAATTTGGAATAAAATGTCCAGAGTTTCAGTTGACAGAAATACTTAAAAATAAAAAGGATGACTAAATAACAAGGACTTTTGTTTTCAGGACTAAGATCAATTCTAAAAATAGCAATAAATTAATACTACCTGATTGATGTAAATAATTAGCGCACATCAGTGTATATAGTATAAATATTACACAAAGGTCCTATGTGAAATGCATTATGAATATATTATAGGTACTGAAATATTCATGCTTTCTTTGTTGCTTGTTGTATGACAGGTCTTGTGATGCTGCAAGATCATTTCTGGCCATTTTTAAGCTATTTTTCACAGGTGGCCAAGTGAAAACTCACAAAGTGTATCCTTGAATGCAAACAGGGATGTGGCAGCATCTTGGCTTCACAGCTGCTGCTGTTATGAGTACTGTAACTCAGCACAGGACGTGTTACCATAAAGGCACAAGGGCACTGCAGACTTGTGAACATTTGAGAAACCTGTTCACAATCCATTCAGCTGCAAATATGCCTCATCCAAAGTCTAAGTTCCTTGAGTCCATGTATATTCTGGCTCTCTTTAAATTATTGACAACGAAACCACTAATCGTTTTATTACCTTCTGTCTGCAGTGATAAAAGTCACCATGATGTACAGTAGGATAACACACGCGATTGCACAACTACGGCTTTGTGCACAACACTTTTGATCTCCACCCCTTTCCTGTTTGTTCCCCCTGGAGAGTAAACATGCTGGCTGTCACACACAGAGCTTCCCTAGTGTTCCGGTTAACCCCAGACTAAAACCATATGGATTTCTATAAGTAAATAAATAAAGAAACAGCCCCTCATAAATACTCTTATTTGCTGACACTTGCCAGGTAGAATCCCAAGCAAAACACATTTTCTTTGTACATAAATCAATATTTAAAGCTTTTTCAAAACACCTGGAATATGAATTATTTAAGTAACCACTTTAAATAAATATTATAATTAATTTTATAGACCTGGATTATACTGGGAAGATTTAGAACTGCCTGGCTTGGCGAGGGTTAGGCCAGCTTCAAAGCCTTGTTTAGTTCTCACTGTCTGGACACAGCTCAGGCCCCGGTGCAACACTGGACATGGGGCGTACTACACACATGCACGCTCAAAATTAAACTACAGTCTTTCGCCACATTTCTCACTAATTGCTACATTCACCGTTGGCGTTAAAGGTATATTCTGAGCTTCAGACCTCAGGCATGCATGTTGTACGTGTATCTTCTCCAGTCATATGATATGCATCCAGCCCCACCCACTTCATAACTAAACCAGAAGACTCCAATCTCATAAACAGGACATTAACAGATTATAATGATGTTTCTGGACACCACGCTGAGGGACTTTTTTTTTTTTGCTTATACAAATGACACTGCAAATCTATTTTTGATTGTTTCGGATGAACATAAAAGCTTTCGCAAAGCTGAATAGTTAACCACTTAGAGCTGAAGACTGAGTGATACACATGTAAAACAGGCAGTGAGTGCTTGGGAAAGAACCTCCTGGATGTGTACCAGAGCATCTGCACGTCCACATCTCTGTATGATGATGAATGGGGCCACAAGTTAATGAGTCTGACATACTGCACTTATCTATTCCTCTGTGTCACCATGAGTCATTATAACCCGAAAGAAATAAAACATCCTTAGTGATACCAGGAAATGCATTACATAGTAAAACAAAGTAAGATACATGATGCCACAATTGATTCAAGTAGAAACTTTACTTCACACTTAAGGAATAGAGTTGACAAACAAATCACAGTATACAACATATGCATACAACTGATTGGGATTTTCTTACTTTGAGCTCAAATTAGTGCTACTACATGGTTTGGAAAATAAATAGAAAACTGCCTCTAAAGGGTTGTGAGACATTATCTCTAAACATTTTGTTCCAAAACCAAGTTCAGTGTCTTTATAGTAATATTCATGTTTTGTTGCTGGAACACTCCTGGAAAGCCCCTGACTACAGACTAGAACGTGATTATGAGGTTGATTCAATACGTAAATGAAACAAAAACTTAAAACACTCACCAAGAGGTCGGCTCCATAGGAGGCAATGCAAAAGCTACTGGCCCTACATAGGATACATGGACTTTTCTGTCCCAGAAATGTGCACAGGACATAATCAAGCATTGCTTGAAGACAGGTGTCTCCCAGGTCCGGCAGGGGCTGTTCTTGGACGAGCCAGAAAATGAGAGGCTTTCCCAAAACCAGGTTAGCCGCTGTCACACGCACAGTGGAACTGGCAGCAGGCACAATGTGCGTTAGTCAGTGGCTTACCTGCTTTTAGAGCTCAGACATTATAACGACAGCCTTAAATTGCGCACAGTCTGCAAATCAAACAAAAATAAAGGCTGTGTAATAAAAGAGGAATAACTAAATCAGATATGGTCAACATGGCTAGCGGAGGTTAGTGTATAGCTTCTATTCACATAACTTAGATAACAGCGTTATTTAAAATAATATACACAACACCATATTACAATTAAAATAAACCCACAAGTATAACACATCATCTATTACTCCATCGCTGTTACCTCAGAATTAGAAATCACATCTGGCTTCCAGCCCATGATGCATTAGCTACCAATATCACATTGCTTTCCATTTTAATTGTCATAACAAAGTTCCAAAATAATAAACGCTTATATGTGACAACTGAAAATAAAGTTACGCTATAGAAAGTGACATAATGTGGCACTGAATGTGCGCTGTTCATCCACAAAATATAGACAGAATAAAGAATAGTGGGAGAGAAAGAGAGCTACTTACAAGTTTTCTTTTAGGATAATTTCTAAGGGGAAATCTTTCGTTTTCGCTGATACCACCCACGCTGCCATCCATCCAAACATCCAAGCTGTTTTTTTTCTCTAAAAGAAATCACAGTGCATGATTAAAGTTTGCTGCATTTAAGAATATAGTATATCCTAAACCAAGGTATAAGTTGTGTGCACTTGCACTACCCCTACCCTGCCCACTCCCCTGCATCTGCAACCCGACATGGTTATGCAAATTAAAATAAAACTGGCATCCTGCGCAGTCAATGGTCTGCCGTGTTAGACTTAAACGACACGCCCATTATAAATTATTGACAAATAGAAGGCTCGGGGAGGCGGGCTTTATAAGGCCAGCAGGTTCAGTTGGTTGTTAGAGTTATAGTTGGTGTGCGGCGCGTTCAGTTTTGCACGTCGTACATTAGGAACGAACCATTCTCTTGTTAACTGTTTCCTTTCCTGACAGAGTGTTTATTGCAAAAATCATGCGTGATAAGTTTCTTTACCGTTAAATAGACGCCATGTGAGGCGACATCGGCCACTAGAGGTGGGATAAACGTGCTTTAAACCGCTTTAACAAAGAACACCCCTACACCTACAGTGCGAAGTGGTTGAACTCAGCTTGCTTGTGTACAGTGTTGCCATGAGCAGAGTGTGGTTGTGCACGTACCAGAGAAGAAGCATGACAGTGTGATTTGATGATGATGATGATGATGATGATGATGATGATGATGATGATGATGATGATGATGATGACGAGGAGGTGGAGGAGCAGGAGTTTGATGATAATGATAAACACTCTTATTTAAAGACCGGAAGTTTAGGAGTCTGTGATATCATTAACAAACTGTGTAAGCTCATAACAATTTGTTAAAGTGATTTAGATCTGGACCTATTTACCCTTTAAAGTTCAATAGGCTAACACATTACAAAACGTGCCTGCATTTAAAACATCTGTTCAAAACACCCATTGTACCCCATTACTTAATTAAACATAGGCGTCATCTTACAGCAGATAGGGATGGCCACAAGTTGTATAGGTTGTAATTATATTATCAACATGATATCAGGGTTAATTTGTTAAAGTGATTTAGATCTGGACCTGTTTACCCTTTACTTATAAGAAAACATTTCGTTTTCAACTTGCCATAGACCATGGTATGTCCTCTTTTTGGTTCAGATAAACCTATATTCTAGAGTTTTTTTTTTCTGACCTGTTTTGAAAGTCTCGGATTGTTGACAGTCTGGATACCCATAACCTCATGATATACGGTAGAGTACGGAATCCGGGTTACATTGTATTATGTAACAGCTGATTGTGTACAATTAGAATTACCACTGGGGGGCGACAATGGCTGATTGCTATATTGACAGCTTGCTGTCGTGGGAAAAGTAGCCTTTACAGAGCCTTTACATACTGTATGTAAACCCAATAACAACAAAGTAAAGCTGCTTCATTACAAGTGAAAGAGAACTAAGCTTAAGTATCAGCAAAATGTACTTAAAGTATTTAGAGAATTTACTATAGAATGACCACTTACTTTAATCCTGTTTCTTATTCTATTTTATTCTATTTTTTCTACAAATATTCTATTTAAGTTCCTAAATGGCATGGTACTCATTACTAGGAGAGAGAGAGAAACGGTATTTCAATCTTCTGTATGTCCTGCACAAATAGTAACTTTGCAATAACAATCTTTGAACCTTGAACTTTCATAGTGTTATATACAGTTTTGGTTGTTTTGTGGTCAAGTTGGAGATAACTTACTTTATGTGCTGAGCAGTTCAGTCTCTAATGGTGCACAACATTTCCACCCAAACAAACAAACAAATAAATACATGATACTGCATTTTGAGTATTTCAAAAGACACGGATATTGTAGGCTACTACAATTTGTAGCAGTATTCACCTGTTTATGGTCTCAATTAAATGGATACTTCCTCTTCAAGAGTCGCATTTGTCTGAGTGCACTCTGCCTGTATGAAAATTAGAATGGTAGGTTTGGGTAAGGAATTGAATATTAAGGGCCTGGTGGAGATAGGGGATAACCAACCATTGGTACAGAGATAAGTATTTAAATATCTAAAGGAGACGGATTATGTATAGAATACAATCCCCTCGTAGAGGAATGGTGTTATACGCTCCGGTGCAGCAGATGGCGGCAAATGTAGCCCGCTATTGAACTTAAGAAGAAGAAAAAGCGCACTCGGCCATTTCCGCGTCTGGCCAGCCGGTGGTGTCACTCAATAACCCCGAAGACTTCCAATTAATCTCAGCGTTCCTCAGACTGTTTAATAGGGTAGGTTTGGAATTTATGTTACATGCGCAAATGTGACGTTGCAGTTATGCTGACTGAATGGAAAATTTGTGTAAATGCGCAGACAATGAATATTTTAGTACTTAGTCCAAATGAGGTTGAAGTTTGCATTCACTAAATTTAGCTATTCTGAGGCTAGCTACTAGTTAGCGTCATTTGTTCAGCAAAAACTGTGTTACCTTTTAGCCCTGTATCCTTGTAAGGGTGCGTATGTATAATGCGGATATCAACTTTTACACTGCATCTGTATCTTATTTGAGAGATATAGCAAGCATCCTGTGTGGAGCCTAGTTCTGTTCTTTGTTTACAAATGTAGCCCTAGCACATTCTGCAGGTTGCTGCTGGCTAGCTAACTTTAACGTTAGCTAATGTTAGGTAACCGTTGTTTGCAAGCAGATCTAACGTTAGCTAAATTATAAACTTGGTCCATTCAGACTGCTGGTTTACAGTTTCTTAACTACCCACGTTCTCTCAAAATGTCACTCGTGGTTAGCTTGAAAATCTCTTGGAATTAATTGTCAGCTCACTGTTGTTATTAGCCTACTACAGCTTATAGCTCTAGAGCACATGCGTAGACGTACTTTTCCCCTTTCTGCTCAGGGAGACGGGCAAAAACAGAAACACCTTGTCATATATTTCCTTAGTTACCTGTCCTTTGAACAGTGAGTAGATTTCCTTACAGATTCCCAATGCACGTTTTTGTAATATTCAATTAAACTTCATTTTGTCATAATCCCCATCATTATCTGAAGTTGTACTATATATCTTCCAAATATCATTTTAGAGAAAAGCTGTCAGAGAAATTATTATGCTGTTCCAATGATCAGCCATGGATGAAGAGGACAGCCAAGATGATAAGTTCAACCGCAGTATGTCCCGCAGCAAAGGAAAAGGGGCTGTGTGGGCCATCTCAGGTAATATGTTTGACATGTTGGTCATGTATAAGATTATGAGCTGATCATGTAATCAAACTACATTTGCTATCACAAGAGTACACAACCAAAAGCATACAAAAAAACATGTTTTGTTGTTTTTCTTTTTAGATGACTCAGACAATATTGAAGAGGAATCTGAAGAGGGAGAATCTGACAGTGGTGAGGAAGAAGATGAGGATCACCTAGATGGAGAGGAGGAGGAGGAAGAAGGGAATGAAGAGGATGATGGTTGGAGTGGTAACTGTGCTGTTGATTATTGCTGTCAGATGTGGTGGTGGTGGTGGTGGTCTGCTTTTTTTAGTTGATTATCATATCAGTATTCTATAGTTTTTTTTATATGTAGCCATACACTAGTCTCTCAATTTATCTGCTTTGTAACTTAAAAAATAGGCTATGGTCCTCTGTGATAAACTACACACTTTAAGTATGAAATAAGTGCATGGTTATTTGCAACACTGTGTGTTATGCTGCTGTATGCTCTAGAATATAAATGCAGTTTGTATACTATATGCACAATACATTTTATCCATTTTTATTAGAAGAGAACAAGGAAGAAGGTACTAAGCCTGAGGATGGAGCTTATGGGGGGACCTCTGCTGACCATGCAGGGATGAGCTCAGATGAGGACTCAGAAAAGTGTCCCATCTGCCTTAACTCATTCAGCAGCCAACCTGTTGCAACACCAGAGAGCTGTGAGCACTACTTCTGTCTCGACTGCATCCTTGAATGGACCAAGGTGGGTCGGACTTAATTTTGCATGAGCCCAAGGAAAAAGTACTTTGTTACAGACCTTATTTTTGACCTTATTTAAGTTCTGTTTTTAAAAAGCATCATTGGTAGAGGTGGAATGGCTCAGTATTAGTTTTTTTTTGTTCTCAACTATTTAGAATGCAAACTCGTGTCCTGTAGACCGTATTGCCTTCAAGAGTATATACCTAAGGAAATGTTATGGAGGCAAAGTGAAGAAAATGGTGAGTGTTTTCATACTTTAATAGCATAACTTAGGGAAATTTTATTTCCTCGGTCAGTTTACTCTAAAAACAGTTGCTTCAGAAAGTATACAGATCCATTCAGTTTTTGCACAGTTTACATTTTACACTTTTGAGAGGCCGAAAGAAATAATATTCTTGATTACCTCAGTCAATTCAGTTTGCCACAGGTGGACTCTAGTCTAGACACATCTAAAATAAAATGAAAGCACATGACCTTAATTTGGAGTGCCACATCAAAGGGCCTGAAAATGAGATTTCAGTTTTTGTTTTTTAATAAAATTGCAAAACTTTCTAAGGCTGTGTTTTCACTTTGTCATTTGTGGTTATTGAGTCTAGAGTGATGGGACAAAATGAGATTTATTCATTTCAGATTAAATGTACAATGTAATAAAGTGTGTAAGGTCTGGGTAATTTCTGAAGCAACTGTACATTTATATTGTCTGGACTAAATCGCTTATATAGTCTTGTGATTTTTGTGATGACTGCTTCATTCAGATCACAGTACAAAAGCCTGAGAAAAAAGGTCAAGAGGAAACAATAGATTTGGAGCTGGAGCAGACCAGCTGTGAGGTGTGTGGGAGCAGTGACCGTGAAGACTGCCTTTTGCTCTGCGACAGCTGTGATGCTGGGTGAGATGGATGTTATCACACAAAATAATTATTTAGTAATTTCCTAGTGTGTTATAATCTACTTTGTGCCTGTTTTACACTCTTAAAACCTTTTGTCAGCTGTCTTATTGTCAGAAGACATTTTTGTTTCATAGGTATCACATGGAATGCCTCACACCACCTCTCGACTCTGTTCCTGTAGAGGAATGGTTCTGCCCCGAGTGTGAAGCCAACAACCATCGTTCAAGTAATCTTTTAAGTTATTTGACTTCTTAAATTTATACTTGATCAAAGTATGTTTTGGACATGGGCAACGATTTTACAGAACCAAAACCTTTATATAAAGCAAACATGCAGTTTTGTAATAAACAAGATTTTACATGCTTAATTTCTTTAAATTCATTGTTCTTATGCATTTAACTCTTAATAAAAATCTGTTGCCCAAAAACACAACACAAATGAATTAATATAATACTCGCTTTGTCTGCACTCTTAAACATCCTTTCACAAGTGAGACATGTAAATCTTCTGACTCAGGGGGTTCAGTGGAAGAACTTAGGGATCCAGAAAGCCTACCGTCTACTGCCCGTCCTACCACCAGTCGTACCCAGCCCCGTGCTGCAGGTCCCACCAGAGCCATTGCCCGGACTCAGCAGAGTGAGAGAGTGCGAGCTAATGTCAACCGACATCGCATCACACAGGCACGCACCTCACAGGTTTGGCATGATGCTTCTGTCTTGGCTTATTTTGTATTTCACTTCAACAACTTATGCGCAAAGTTGGATCTAACAGAAATGTATTGATGTTGAACAAAGCCTGTTGTTGTGCAGATTAGATTTACTGATAACACTTACAAATTATTGAGTAGGGATGCACCGATGCTGATCTGGTACCACCCTCTCGTACTCTACTCATACTCATAAAAGTTGTCCTGCCAATACCAATTAACGGAAGCATTACATTAACCTCGCTCTGGCTGAGCCGGTTGTTAGGCGGCAGAAAATAAATTTCAGCAGTTCAGAGATATTTTAAGATAAGTGACAGCAACAAAAGTAAGGTCGACTGCAAGCTCAATTTCTCTGTTTGTGTGTGTGTGTGTGTGTGTGTGTGTGTGTGTGTGTGTGAGCGCCCCTCCCTCCTCCCCTGTAGCAAGCTACAGACATTCAGTCAGTTACATGTTATTCAGTAGGAATGGTGGCAGTGCTGTGTGGGTTATCACAAAAGGTTTTCAGGTAATTTACCCTGTTACATAGGATATTCCTTTTAATCACCATCAGAAAGTAAATCTCATGAAATTAAACTGTCTTTAAAGTCATTGCACTTTTATGGTAAGTGTAGAGTGTGTTTTTTTTTTTTTTTTTTTTTTTAGTAGAAACAGTGCATCATTAAGTACTTGTACGTGGTCTGAAAAAGTGGTATTGGTGCATCCCTATTATTAAGTTTTTGTATTAGAGTGAAGCACTTCATTGTCAGCAGAAATGGCAGGCATGTGTTTTGGGAATTTGTTGTGTTTGACTGAAGATTGAAATGCTGGTGCTAAAGAGCAGTGCATGTGTTTGGCATTTTAAACAACAGTTGTTTGTGAAATTGAACTAGTGGAGTGATACAATTTGTTTTTCTTACTAGTTGGCTCCAACATATCTTATGCGGTCCACTTGGCTAGATGAGACTATCAATGCTGTTGTGGCTGGGCTCAACATGCATGTACGGAACTTCACATCTCGTGTCCCATCTAAGCGCAGGCGCAGGACTAGTAAGTAGGCACATATACAAATGCATAAGAAATTCCAAAATATAATTAGCATAAAGGTAGGAAAACATTTGAATGGATATTGTGGCCTAAGAAGTGGAATGTTTGACATGTAGGATGACTTTATGATTGATTGAATAGGAAAGCGCAGAAAGGTCAAAAGCAAGAAGACCTCTGCTGCTAAGGGTAAAACAGGTACAGCTGCAAGTACAGGAGTTAAAAAGAGAAAACGGAAAGCGAGGAAGAGTAAATCCAGAAAAAAGCTGGTGAGTGCATCATCGTCAGTCTTGAGATTTAAATGAACTTGTTTTAGACATTTCAGTAGACGTATCTGACATGGATTGTGAACAATGAATCATTCATTTTTCTTGTAGCAATAAGATTCTTTTCTCTCAAGATAAATGTTTTGGCCTTGTTTTCCCATTAGATGGAGAAAAAGGCAGCCACTCCTCGAAGCCGTATTGCTAATAATCTTGGAATTGTAAAGGACAAGAAGAGCTCTTCACTTCCTACTGTATACCGGCCTGCAGAGCACACAATAAGTAGCATGCGAGCGGACATAGGCGCGGCATCCCTCTCTATCTATGGAGATGCATTTGACCTGGATCCATTTGTGGATCAGTAAGAGGACTTGCTCATATTGTAGGGCTGACCTGAATACATCAGATAATGTTAAATGCTCTGCTGTTTGGTATTTTGACATATCTATCCAATAAACTCCTTTCATCCCAGTGTGTACTTTGCTACAAAACAGAGATGTGTGATGCAGATAGTTTTTTTGTGATCAAATAAACAAGTAAAATAGTTTGGGTCAGTCTTATCATAATCATTATCATGTGGTTGTCAGTATCATTCATATAGTACATATGTGGATAGTGTTAATTTGTGTCTCACTGTGTTTGTATTGTTGAGCAAATGTGAATTGTTTTTTTTGATTTGGTCAGTGATGAGGATGAGCAGCAGGCCCACATTACATCACTGTTGGAGGCCAAGAGACGAGGGATCTCTCGCTCTGCCCTTCGCTCTCACCAACCTGTAGCTCGACCAGTCACCGCAACCCTTTCCAGGTAACATCCCTGTTTGCCATGAGGTGTAGGGTTAGGTATTGAGAAAACTATGTGAGATGAAAATGGTTTCATACTGAATTTATAGCTAAGTGAATAGCAAGCTTTGCTTATCAATATGTATGAGCTGTCTTACCACATCTGCTGCTGCATGACTGCTTTTACATGAGTCAATGTGTGCAAGGAATATAAGCTATATAACATTACTAAGTATTTACTGCATCATGGTTTAAGAATGCTGGGTTTTGTCATAATATCATGGTGTTCCTGCTCTTTATATAATTGCTCTTTATAACAAATTGCTGTTCATGGCAGCTTAAATCTTCTGGAAATATTGTCTTTTGGTTTACACATTTCTTACTTTTCAAATAAATGGTAAAAATCTGTTTCTTAGACTTAAAACTGATGGTCAAATTCAGAATCATAGCCTACAGATGTGCATGAATGTTTCTGTATTTAATATTTTATTGCAATGCCGTTGCTGTCTCAGTTTTTCTGATCAGGTTATGGTATATAGCTTGATAATGAAAGGTACATTTAAAACATGTCCTATCCTCTACCAGAAGCGGTATGGATGTCTCCCAGTCTGGGGGTGTTGTAGACGCTGCTCCTGTGCCTGACTTGTTGGGTAGTATCCTATCGGGACAAAGCATCCTCTTGATGGACAGCTCTGATGTCATCATTAATCAGGATGGTTCCCTTAAAGCTCCAAAGCCAAGTAAGTGTGTGTCTCAAATTAAAAAAAAAAACATTCTAAACATTGAGATTTAAGTGCTGTCACTGCATCATTGGAAATTGATTGTCTTCTATTTCATGAAAATAATTGATGGAATCAGTATATGGCATTTATGCTGACCACTTCATGTAAAATCTACATCTAGTTGCAGAGAATCAAATTTTAATCTTTTCTTTGGTGACATAAAAGGCCAGCAATGCTGCTTGTTTTCTACCACATGGGCAGTGAGTTATTCCTCACTCATTCTCAGCTGACTGTGTCTGACTGCAGCATTTACTGTCACTAATTTCTGTTTTCTTTCCCCAGCACTGTGTGTTTCTCTGAATAAGTAGTGTAAACAGTGTACTAGTGTAATCATCTGGGTCAGGCAAAAGAACCTAATTATTCCATTCCTTATATGTACATATAATTTATTTCCTTATTTTACAGTGATGCCATCTGCATTAAAGCCAAGTACCCATGAAAACAGTAGCTCAGAAGATGCCAGTATCGAGGTCAACCAAGGGATGTTGTCCAACCTAGGAGACAGTTCTCTGTCTCTCCAGTACAATGGAGATCTACCAGGTTCCTCTCATAGCTCCACAAACAGAACTTTGCCTCAGAGCCCTTCTCATTTACCCCCCTTCATGCCCACCTCAGCTAGTCACACCCAACCACCTCCCCATCCCAGTTCACTACCCAGAGGTCATCCAGGTTTGCAGCCATCTTGCCCAAACCCAGACTCCAGCTGCAAGGGCAAGGGAATGGATTCATCACAGTCCCAACCTAAAAATCTACCTACAAAGCCCATGTGGGAAAATGTATCCATGCTTCCTAGGATACCAAAAATTAAAAGGGAGAATAGTTCTAGCACAAATGATGACACCATTCAAGGGGGCAGCAATATAATTAGTAGTAGTAGGAGAAGTAACAGTAATCCTACCACTAGTAGTAATGGTTATACCATGCCTGAAATGGGCATGAACAGCCTTGCTGGGGACAAGAGTAGGCAACAAAGTATAGACCAGCATAAGGGCGGGGCTGAAGGTCAGGCCCAGAGGCATAGGTCCGACGGAGCAAGCTCATCATCAGCCTTCTCCAACTCATTCTCCTCATCTTCCTCGTCCACTGACTCCCCTGCTAGCCAGCCATGTTATTCCTCATCTTCATCAGCGGTGAGCTTCCGCATTAATTCCAGTGGGAACTCCTGGCATTCAAGGCGGCTAAACATCCATTCATCTTCTTGTAGTGGAGGCAGCATGCAAGAGCACTGGAAAGAAAAGGAAGATGAAGCAAGAAAGAGACAGTTGCACAGGGATAAACAGAAGCTGCTGGCATCACGTACACTGCCCAAAAAGGAACAAGACAGTAATATCTATGATCCCTTTAATCCCACTCTGTCAGAATCAAGTAGCTCAGATGGTGAAGATGAGACCTCGAGTCTGGAAAGCAGCTCCCAGCATGTTACACTTGAGGAGAAGCCTCCTAGTTTAGGAAACAAGGATGGGTTAGTGCAAGGCAAGCAGGACCTGGTTTGTGTGAAAACTGAAGCACTGGAGATTGCGGTTTCGCAGGAGGAATCAAAGAGATCTAATGCTCAGGAAACTACATCACAAAATGTCAGGTGCTCAGAGGAACATATAAAGGTTGAAAAAGAATCAAGATTAACAGATACTAAGGTTGAGAAACAAACAGAATTACTTGTCACTAAAATTAAGAAAGAACCAGGATTAGATGATGCTGGGGAAGTTGTAGATGATGCTGGGGAAGTTGAAAGGGGTGTTCACAGCATAAAAAAATATCTGATTTCCAAGACGGCAGACACCACCCCACCTGCTCATCACAGCCTGGATCTTTTAAAGACTGATGAAGAGACACTAGATAGGGAGAGTTTACAGAGTGTTGGAGCTCCCAGCATTGCTCTGTCTGTTTGCAAGAATGACTCATCAGCGTCCAGCACTGCTCCCAGCAAAAAGAAACTAAAGACAGAAATTAACTTGGATCCGACATCCAAGTCCCCATCAGGAGATGTGGCCCTTAAGAAGAAAACCTCCAAAGCCTCAACGGAGCAACGTTCTAGCAGTTCAGAGACAGACAGAGGCTGGAGAGGAGACCGTCATGGGGGCCAGGGAAGGAGGCAGACAGAAAAGAAGGACAGAGGAAGGAATTCCAGACAGTCAAGGTCCAGAGAGAGGAGGAGGGCACATTCAACCTCAGAATGCTCTCAGTCCAATTCCCCTGACAGGACTGGGAGGAAGAGACAGCGGTCTCATTCACGATCCAAAGACAGAAGGCGATCCAGGTAAATATCTAATGACCATGTGACTTTTAGACCTTTAATTAAGGACCTAGTTGTTTTCTTTATTTAAAGGTTTTCTCTGTCACTGATAATGTTTTTTAAAGGTCTGGTTCCAGCTCCAGCAGCAGAGAGCATTCAAGGAAGAAGAAGCATAAACGGAGGAGCAAAGAGAGAAATGATGGCAGAGAGAGAGACCGTGAGAGAGGCAGAGTGCCCAAGGATAAGAGACGTGGTCGGTCTCGATCGAGATCCAGATCCAGATCTAGATCAAAGGACCATAAACGTGGTCGATCTTCTTCCAGGTCACGGTCCAGATCCAGGGAAAGGAGGAAAGAACACGTGCCTCCACAACAACCCTCTGTCCCCTCCAGAGACAAGGTTGATTCACAATCAAAAGATAAGAGGAAACACAGGTCGCGGTCGAGCTCAGGAGAAAGGAGAAAAAACAAAGGATTATCCAAAAATTCACAGAAAACTTCAAGGTCCTGTGCTTTATCATCTAAAGACACAAAACTGCTACAGGACAGGAAAAAAGAGAAGGATATCGTTCAAAGCTCTGTCAAAGAGGAAAAGATGGCCAAAGTGACTAAACAGTTGCCCTTGTGTTCCTCCTTCTCTAACATTGAAAAGGAAGACAAAGACAGCCAGTTCACAATAGCAGAAATGCCAAAAGAGGTGAAGGTTGTAAAAGATGTTAGGAAAGAAAAACAATCTTTTGATATGTTTGAAGATTCTCCTATTACTAAACCAATTAAGAAGGAAGTGGACACCCCTTCTTTGGCAGTAACCCAGGGCATGGATGTGGAGGGAATGGAAGAAGATTGTATCAAGACTGAGATGTATGAACTCAAGAATGAGAGTTCTGAAATCACCACAATTAAATCAGAACCTGGTTCCTTAGAATTGTGCCACTTATCCCCTGTGACCTCATTGTCTTCAGTAACCACACCTGACAGTCACCAGAACGCAGTCTCTCAGTCTCACCCTGTGTTACTGGCCTCAGCAGATCAACCTAATGCTGCAGGGCTGTCTATAAAGGAGGAAGTTCAGCAACCCTCAGACCCTGATGAAGACTTTAGTGTTGATGTGATGCTTGACAACCTGGACTACGTGAAATCTGAGCACACAGAGGGCAGTGACTCATCTGTCAAGCAAGAGAAGGAAGTGGAGACGGGAAAGAATGAAGGAGATCAGGTATCAACCACTGTGGGAGCTAAATCCAAGACTCAAGTGAAGAGGGTTACCTGGAATATACAGGAACCTGAGGGGCCTCAACCAGAGAAATCTGCAAGCAGTAAGTGTTGAGGTTTTGGTTTGCTGTTCATGTTGCATAAATAGATAGCGCTCACATTCAAATATGTTTTATACCTAGCTCTCAGCTGTTGGTTCTTCTTCTTTTTTTTTCTTACACAGAACTGGCTCTGTATAAATTAAAACTTAAGCAGGAAGGAGCTCACAGACCTTCAACAGCCCAGACATCCAGTAAGGTAGGACTGAGCCACTTTTCAGTGTTAACCTAGAACTCTTTGCATGTTTCTTGTAATGTGAATAATGACCAGAGGGTGGCAGGATTTGTTTAGGTGGCCAAATGTATTGTTTGGGCCAAGCCAGAAACTTAAACTGATACTGGAGTATCGCAGTGGGCAAAGTAAAACAAAACAAAGCCAGCTGGCTATATCATCTATAGCCCTGCAATACACAAGGGTTAGGGTGTGTATTTAACTGTATCATTACACTTATTCATGCATTATTATGTATGATAAAATACATCATGTATACATGTAAATCCAAATCATTTTTGAATGACAAAGCTACGATTAGTCAAATAATTTATTAGTCGGTAGCTATTCCTATAATTACCTCCACCAATGTGGGTATTATGTTTTTACTGGCAATCTGGTTGTTTGGTCTATTCACAGCATAACTCTGAAAGTAATAGATGTTTTGGAGACATAGAGTATGGCCCACAGAACAGTGACTTAGATTTTATTGCTGATCCAGGTCATCATCCAGATCCAGGATTTAAAAAAAAAAAGAATTCTTCACCATTGTGAAATAAGGCCAGTTTTGATATTTTTGTCTCTAACTCCATACATAATGCCTACAAAAATTGCATGACGACATCCACATAAAATCTACCCCACACCAAAATGTGATCTGGATCCAAGTAATGTTCCGAATTTGGTCATCCCAAATGTTCCCATTTATAGGGCTTATTGAACACTTGCTACTATGAGAAAACAAATAATGCACTGAAATGATACATTTGTAACAAGGATGGAATCAGTGGATAGCTGGAGGAATTACTGGTCTATGTTAGCAATGGTGGAAGAGCATGTTACACTTGTCTAGAATTAAGATAGATTCTGGATCTAAATTCTGGGGTTTAGTCATGAATCAAGAGAGGAGAAAACTGTCACTTTCTGTAGATTAGAGACTTTAAGTGACACTATGGTTTTCATGAGACATCAGTTTTCCTGGGTGCACTTAGATTTTAGCAGGGCTCATGTGGCCAGGGAAGTAGAAGTGCTGGGTTCAGTGCCTTTCTGGGCCAGAGTAGAGGTCTGTGGAGGCCTGAAGTTCCAAAATGCCGTTCGAGGCTGCGAGCTCCGAAGAGATTCTTCATCTTCGGAGTAGGATCTGCCTCGCTCTTATGAGGGGTGGACTTTCAGTCTGGCCGGATCTGTGTCCAGGGCAATGGCTTCACCAGGGTTGTTCTGTTGTTGTGGCATTTGACAATGTCTCATCGAAAAGCATGTTTAAATTAAACTGATCATCACAGGATCATTCTGATGGCACCTTCAGAACTTAACAAATGATATAACTTAAGTAAACTTGGCATTCGACTTTGCTACCAAAAATTTTCTTTGTCTACAAACTTCACTACAAAATCACACAAATTTTGGTGTGCATTTAACTTCAGGTCGGCTTGTCCGCTGTGTTAGACTATAAAAACTCAAAAATCACTATAATGTTGATAAATAATGGCATGGCATTATGGGTACCGTGAGCTGCCTTGGCAGAGGTTTGTGCTGGGAGTGCTGTCTGGTTGGTTGTTTGTTATTTTTCAGGTAAAACACTAAGGATTTGTTCTTGATTGTCTTTATTATCATGTGTGATAGTTACTATCTTTTAGCATTTTGTTAACATAATCTCCTGTGACTTTCACAGGATGTCACTGGAGCTGTCAGTGACCCATCCAAGAAAGGCGCTGTTGGCTCGCTCTGTACTTTCTCTAGTGTTGATGGCCTACTTCCTGAAGGCTTATCAGCCACTGGACAAGGAGAGGCAGAGGAAGGGGATCTGTCGAGGAAAGACAAGGTGAAAATGGCTTTTAAATGTTTATGTTTAAGCTTTGATCTAAATGTTTGGGGTAATCATACCATCTTTGGGTTTTCAACAAATATTTCATTAAAACTCCTGCCTTCTGTTTGAAATCTATGAAAATCATAAGTAATGTTTTACTCATGCCAACAGTATTTGAAAAAGCTGCACATGCAGGAGAGAGCTATAGAGGAAGTGAAGCTAGCTATCAAGCCTTTCTACCAGAAGAGAGACATCAATAAGGATGAATACAAAGAGATTCTGCGCAAGGCCGTCCAGAAGGTGGGTTAAAACTGACCAACAACTTAAAGCCCTAACAGGCTGTGAAACTAAAAATGAACTCAAAACAGGTTGAATTTTGTCTGAATTTATTTTGTGTTCATGGTCATCAGGTGTGCCACAGTAAGAGCGGTGAGATCAACCCAGTGAAGGTGGGCAATCTGGTCAAAGCATATGTGGACAAATACAAACATGCTAGGAAACATAAGAAAGGGGAGGACTTAGGGGAGCTACCAGAGGTACAGAAAACCTTTTGACAGCCCAGGAGGATGCGTGAAGTACAGGCAAGGACAGCTGAACCCACCCCAAACACTCATTCATGTTTTGTTTTGAGTCTTACCATGGGTGTGATCTCTGTGATATACCCAGTGTTACTGTTAACTAGGTTTGCTCGCCACTTCAAGTTGGAACATTTTCTATAATGACAAACTTTCTATTTCTATGGAATTTTGACAATAACGTTTTTCACTAATCACTTGATTTGCAACTGTCGGTGTCTTGTGCTTGGACTGTTACTGCCAGGCGCTGGTCTTTGTGTGTAGTACAGCTCAAACTTCATAGGATGCTTTGAGATTGTGCCTTAAAGAGGCAAATCTCAGACGTTCCCATGAAGTGATAAATCAGGTAGCTTTCTCCACAGGCACATCACCGGGAGGATGCAGCATGGGCTTTGAGCTTTTTATGACTTCTTTCTTTATGTGAGGGAAGGGGTATGTATCAGCGGTAAAGCTCATTTTGTGGATTAACAAGAGGTGTAAAAGTATGCAGAGTATGCATAATACGTTTGTCACATTAAGGAAAGACATTGTTATGCAATTTTTGTAGAAAATGTTTCAATAGGGAAATTAAACCGTTTTAGATTTGGTTGTAAATAATATAGATTTGATATATACACATACATATGCTCTGTTCATTTATGTTTCTTGTTTGAATTTGTTTTGCATTTGAAAGCCTCTAGGTCTTCCACATCTGTAATACCCATGTTTAATGAGATAAATCTAGTCCAGTGTCCAGGTGAAGTCCACATCGGCCCATTGAAATCAAAGTTGGAGTCACTGTCCTCAGTAACAGCCTCTCCTATTTAGGCATGCTTGTTTGTTTTTTACTTTCAGAAGTTCTTTGAATCTCAGCATTATCCTTTTTTTCAACCCATGACTGGAATGTAGAAAGCCACATTTTGGAGAACAAGGTAATCTTTTTGTTTTTGTGCCAAACAAGTAAAAAAAAATGCATAATTTCCCAGAATAAATGATTTAATTTATTTGTTTGAACTTTCAGTTTTTAAATAATGGAGATATAGATTTTACTTTGAAGTGAAAAGGATTATAAGAAGTATCTCAATGGCTGCCCCTCATTATCTCAGGTTTTCTTGATTTTGTCACTGTTTGACCAGGTGCTCTTTTGCATTTAATGTTAATAAAAAGTTTATTTTATTGGCATAATCCCATGGCTTTGAGAGATCAGTTTAGTCCATATATTAGAATAATAATGGGATATCGTGTAAAATGCAGCAATTTCCAATATAGGTGTGATAGAAGCAAACGCATTTAGTTGGGAACTTGAAGAAAACATTCAGTGTAAGCCTTGAAGTACTTGAATACAGCCTCATTATGGCTGCTTTGGCAATGGGTCCTTAGCCTAAATCTTCGCTACTCTGCAAAGCTTTCTTTAACAAAAACTCATTTCTGCTTATTCTCCATGCTGTAATAGCTGCCTACTGTAAAGATTCATCGGGTGGGTGGTTGTGTTTGCCTTGTCTTCTGTCATCACTTTTAATTTGGCTTCATAAACCCCTGGACTGGAAGAATCGAAAGATTCAGGTGCTCGTTATCTGAATGTATTTCACTTTTATCTGTGTTTACTTGATCAAACAGACCAGGTGTTTCTAAGAGGGAACACAATAAAGTATGATAATTAGGGTTTTGTCTCACTTTAATTCAAGTACTTACATTTTCTTGTCATATTTCTATTTTAAAGATTTGGTGCTTGGAGTCATAGTAGTTGCTACATGCACTTTGGTCGCCACTAACTGAAAGCTGCCTCTTCTTAGTTATTCAGGAATGATGTTTTATTTAAAAACGAATAAGATCTTTTTCTTTAATTTTTGTGGAATCATGAACAAACCTGAAGCCACAGAACAGTTCTCATGTTCAGAAAGGTACTATAGGGAATTAACATTTCTCAGCATTCATAAACCATACATAGAGACCTGAGATGTCATTCAACGTGAAACGGTTCATATGAAATCCAAACAATGCCACCTGAATTTATTCAGTTTCTTATCTTTATTTAAAAGGGACAGTGTCAGCACTTGATGCACCATACCAAACTTAAGCTCCATCTGTAGTCCATGTCAAGTGAGAACAAAAATAACACAATAAGAGTCCAAAATGATAAAAAAAAAGAACCTCTGAAACACAGAGTAGCACATAAAAAATGCACATTTGTATGAAAAGTGCAAGATGACTAGCAGAGTAAAAAGTATTAAATTTCTGACGTGCAAAATACACTTCTCCACAGACGTACACGTTTTTAGACTGCGGCTGTATGACACAAAACGTAGAACACAGAGTAACGTTATCAAATGTGCATTCTACACACTCGTATGTGATCAGAAAGCAAAATACTATACATGTTAGAATGTATGCAGCATCACTTTAGACATTCAGTTCCTACATACATCCTGTATAGAAGTAATTTGGCATTTACAGTAATCCGATAAAAGTTTCTTCTAAGGCAACATCATTGGTCTTTGAGGTGAATAACTGAACAAATAGTGGAGATGTCCATTTAAGTGAACACGAGTTGGTTAATAAATAATGGAGCAATTATTGTCAATAAAATTCTACAATACCAACGTTAATTACTAATTCTTGCTTGAGTTACTGGAACATTCAACAGCTCAGCAATTTGGCTACTTTGTTTTTAAGAAAAGCTTTCAATACGAGCAGGGCGTGGTGCATCATGTAGTCCCATTAGAGGAAAGAGAGATCAAATTTCAGATATGATGCAAGAAAGGCTCAGCAGCTCGTACCGGCTCTTCAGCTGTTGGCAGGCTAAAGGCGGAGTTAATGAGATCATAGAGGCTGTTGTGTGAGATCTGCAGGCTGATGTTGGCACTGTGAAGAGATGAAGCCCCCTCCATCTGTGCCATCTCATGAAAGTGTCGACAGATCAGAGGAACCACCTACACGAGCAAAAGGGAGATTTTAGGGGACTTATAAACAGCATAACTGAAGGGAGCTGAAGTCAAATACAGAAACGATGCTTAGGAAAAATAGAAAATAGTGTTACCTTAACTATGATAAGTTTCTTCTCCAGAGGTTTTCCATCAGGAAACTTCTCTCCAAAGCACATGTTGATGGTGTACTCGGGAGAGCCGCTGTTATTTTCCTTAAACTGTCTCAGTTCTGAAACAGATGAACCAGTCCCCCACCACCACAAGGTAGTTTTAATCCCATCTTCACATAAAATGCACTAACACTAGTACTAAAATGTTTTGTTCACATAAATGAGCAGTAAGAGATCCACACCTACCATGAACATAGTTCTCAAAGCTAAGGAGCTCCACCATGCTGTTTTGGGGGAGCTTTCTTGGGTCTGGATGAGCCACACTGGGATCACTGGTACTGGCAAACACATGGCATCTGTCCTGCCTCACAGCATAGATACCAGTATTCCGAACCTCCAGGAGCAGACCTCTCTGGATGTTACTGAGGATGCGGTTGGTGTATTCAATCTGGTGTGAAGAAGGGTGCAATTAGAAAAAAAAAAAAGATGTTAAAAAGGTTTTATCACATTAAGGATGCACAGCAGTATACCAAACATCTGTCCTTTTTCAGTGCATTCTAGGAATTATTAAAGGCAGGGTTGGCAATTCTTTTCAGAAGCATTTTTTTGTTATACATCTTGAAATTCTTTTTTCATCCTGATGGCAATGAATACATTAAATGCACTGACAACATAAAGAAACAAATTCGTCATCTCAGGCAGCAGCAGGGCTGAAAAAAGCCTGGCCAATAATTTTACTTGGCACGAGCAAAGCCACTGGATGGCCTACCTGTCTGTCTTACTTACGCACACCAAGAATCTCCCACAAGGCCAGGCAGGCAGGTGTGTTACTGGTCTGTTTTGATAGCTAAAGCTAGCAACCTATGGCAGGGAAAGTACCCACAGAAGCTTCCATTTGCAGTGGCCGCTGTTACAGGCTAGGCCTTCCCCTTAAAAACAAATAGCCTCAGAGATATCAACTGACTTCCTTCGACTCAGTTCTGACTTGGAGTAGGTTAATCTCTCACCAAGCAACATTCAAGAGCAGCTTTTACTTCAGCATTGAGGAAACAATGTTGTTGTGACTTGAATGCACTGTGAGCAGTGTGAGAGTGAGAAGACCACCACATGGAATAGATCCCTTTTACATACAGCTACAGGTGTATGTAAAATACCAACAGTCGTCTGCTCTGAGTGTATAGGTAGAATTGTAATGCAGTAAACTGCACATCAAAGGCCAAGTGCAGTGTTCATGTTACTAAGACCAGATAAAGCCTGTGTTGTGAGCCGAGTTCGCTGGCCTCCCTCTTCACATCTCCCCACCGGAAAAGCCCAGATTTCTAAGGCTAGTTACCGGCTACAAGCCAGGGCTAAAGCAGCTTAGCCATGAACCAGGGGTCCCCAACTATGGTTCGGGGCTCCAGATCTGGGCAGGTAATGTTGTATTCAACAACGTTACAACTAAAAAGAAGTTGGATGCTGCAAGAAGTAAAACCAGAATTAACATTGGTGTGGCTTTTGAACAACAGAGAGATAGGGCAGAAAAGTGATGCCATGGTGGCCGTTTTTCTGCTGGACAGGTAATTATCAGTTCTGTTTTGTTTGGGGGGCATTTGTTATTTTCCTGAAATCAGTAAGTAGTAGTTAGGCAGTGCACATTGTGTTTTGAAGGAGTGGCCTTGGAGAGAAATCAAAAGGGTGGGATTTCTTGTCTACTTTCCAGATCGAGTTTCCCCCTGAAATATTTTACAGCCCTCTTTTAAATGAACATGTCACATGGTGATGAGAGCATTTAGTAAAATTAAACATATAAAGATACCTGTGGAGTTTCCTTGTCAAAGCACACTGGTGATGTTATGAAGTAGGTTATGGAGAATTTTTCTTTGAATGATATAACAGTGTACCTGTTTGTGGTCCAGCAGGTCATCAGTGGAGGGGAAACAGAGACAATGGGCATTGAGCTCAGGTGCTTCGTGTTGGTAGTGGAGCTGAAGACGGGTAGTGCTGGAGATGTTCACTGTCATCTTTAGCATTTCTCTTTTCCTGTAGTGTATGGAGATCTCCAGGTCATATATGCTTAGCGGAGTTACTGTAAACGCAAACAATCGGAAAACATGCATTGAGGATCATAATTTTTTCTTATAGTATAGCGTTGCATTTTACTATAAGTTGGGTTTATTTGACTGAACGTACCCTCATAATAAGACGGCTGATGTGGTAAAACCTGTGGGTGGTTCTCGGCTGCAGCAGGATAGCTTCCTAGGAGTGCTGGATTGGGCTGGTTATACTCCCCTGCCCACAGTTGCTCCTCTGATGATAAAAATCAGATTAAACTCTGTTTAAGCTTCATTGTAAACCATGTAAAGAAATTAACCAGTGGAGAGCAAGTTATTAGCTCATGAATTATTTGTTTCAATTTGCATAAGACGCTGTACCTGTTCCATGGTTGTCAAGATCCAAGGCCATGAAGTTGTTAAGGAGATTGATCTGTTTGGACAGAAAACTGAGGCATTTAATTAAAGCATTTAAGTACTGAAAGGCAGCAAACAGCATGATGTAAATCTAGAAAACAATACAAAGCAAAATACCAGAAGTAATATGGCAGTAGTAGTACTAAACCAGAGAGAAGTGAAAGTAGACTCTAAGCAATACTACACCTCATTTCCTGAGGGGAAGTACTCTGTAGGAGAGCTGTAGATATCTGGAATCATGTCCAAATCGTCCTGGGGGTCTTGTGTTGGCAGACTTGGATGATTCTCTGCAGAAAAAAATAAATAAACAGACTTGCATAAATTTGCACTTAAAACTGTTCCATGTGTCAAGGCTTGGATTAAATGGCGTGGTCTTACGCTCAGTGTTGATAATCTCATAGATTTTATGAGGGTCGTCATTATTCTTAGAATTATCCTTTATCATCTTAAAGCGCTCTGAGAGGTTGTTGAGGGCACAGCGGAAGTTGGTTTTCCACCGGGCCTTGTCATTAGGGAACTCGTTGATTTTACCACTTGCTACTGCCCATGCCTGTGAACCAGACAGAGAAGTAAGATGAGTGACTGTATTAGCCAGAGGTAATACATAAATCATTTAGGTACTTCTACTATGCTTGACATTTTGTGAGACTAAATGTCTACTTCTCTACATGTCAGAAATACTGTACTTTGTACTCCACTACATACAGTGGGTACGGAAAGTATTCAGACCCCCTTAAATTTTTCACTCTTTGTTATATTGCAGCCATATGCTAAAATCATTTAAGTTCATTTTTTTCCTCATTAATGTACACACAGCACCCCATATTGACAGAAAAACACAGAATTTTTGACATTTTTGCAGATTTATTACAAAAGAAAAACTGAAATATCACATGGTCATAAGTATTCAGACCCTTTGCTCAGTATTTAGTATATTTAACTTAGGTGCTGTCCATTTCTTCTGATCATCCCTGAGATGGTTCTACACCTTCATTTGAGTCCAGCTGTGTTTGATTATACTGATTGGACGTGATTAGGAAAGCCACACACCTGTCTAAGACCCTACAGCTCACAGTGCATGTCAGAGCAAATGAGAATCATGAGGTCAAAGGAACTGCCTGAAGAGCTCAGAGACAGAATTGTGGCAAGGCACAGATCTGGCCAAGGTTACAAAAAAAAATTTCTGCTGCACTTAAGGTTCCTAAGAGCACAGTGGCCTCCATAATCCTTAAATGGAAGACGTTTGGGACGACCAGAACCCTTCCTAGAGCTGGCCATCCGGCCAAACTGAGCTATCGGGGGAGAAGAGCCTCGGTGAGAGAGGTACAGAAGAACCCAAAGATGACTGTGGCTGAGCTCCAGAGATGCAGTCGGGAGATGGGAGAAAGTTGTAGAAAGCCACCCATCACTGCAGCCCTCCCCCAGTCGAGGCTTTATGGCAGAGTGGCCAGACGGAAGCCTCTCCTCAGTGCAAGACACATGAAAGCCCGCATGGAGTTTGCTAAAAAACACCTGAAGGACTCCAAGATGGTGAGAAATAAGATTCTCTGGTCTGATGAGACCAAGATAGAACTTTTTGGCCTTAATTCTAAGCGGTATGTGTGGAGAAAACCAGGCACTGCTCATCACCTGTCCAATACAGTCCCAACAGTGAAGCATGGTGGTGGCAGCATCATGCTATGGGGGTGTTTTTCAGCTGCAGGGACAGGACGACTGGTTGCAATCGAGGGAAGGATGAATGCGGCCAAGTACGCAAACACAGCCGCCGACATCATTGTGACGTCTCCTCCTCCGTCGGAGTTACGAGGTTCTCGGTGGCGTTTCCGACGAATAGGTGCGTTTGATTCACGGACAAGCAGCACGTTGCCTCCTCAAACGGAGCATGAAATCCACGCCCGGGCTGCTCACGGTGGATGATTTAAAGGCACCATCTGCAGACAGAATGGGGAGGTGTTTTGTTCTTTCGGGAAAGTGGATTTTCTCCTCTCAGGAGAGAAAGTGAAAGTCATTTTGCCGACTGTTTTTTTTCCCCCTTACTTGCATCATCAAGCCTTCTCCATTTCATCATCCAGCCCAACATGTTGTCACCCATTAATACCTGGAGTCATTATATTGTGCCTCTAGCCATGATTCTAACTCACTGGCTGCTCCTTTCAAGGCAAATCCACTGGAATCTTAGGCTATACTTCCCGTGTTTGGTTTGTCTTAACATGTGAAATTCTTAGGCGAGTGTAGTCGAAACTGTGCTTCTGTTGTTAAACATTGGTTGAACCATGCTGTGTATTATTGGAACACGAACATAGAGGTTATTTGAACTTATACAATATGATGTGATGCCACAGTATTTTCATGCAGAAATAGCCCGCATACTGTATTGATCAATTTTAAGGGCCATCTAATTTTTTTTGTTTCAATTCAGATGACAACTGGGTGAGTCGAAGTGGCTCATACCTGATGAACTTTTACAAAGAGGCATTTCACACTAAAATAGCATCCCCGGAAAACACCCAGTTCCTGTGAACCTAGGCTCAAGGCTCCACCTGTCAATGTGCCATAGTTTGTAATAGATGTGCGGTGTATTTAAAGGTTTTGTGGGACTTTCAGAGTCACAATTCTGCAGGTGTGGACTTGTGTCATGTGTCTGAATAAGAAAGAATATTTATAGACAGTGGGTGAGAGTGCAGTGGGGATGCTCTCATCTGCATAGGGCTGGGTATCATTCCAAAACTTTTGGTACCGGCACCGATATGGATACCTTGGTTTCGATACCGGTTCCTTAAACGATAGTCTTTTCCATACCAAGTTAATTTATAAAATCAATTTTAATAATAAATAAATAAAATTACACATTTTGGTATACAGCTCATTAATTCCATGGCGTTTTGTGCACTCAAAGCAGTGTCATAACATAAAAAGTAAGCTTAAGTTTTTTTTTAACATTAATATCAAGAAATAAAAATGTAGAAAATCATTTGATGCCATAAAAGTGTCAAAGTTCAATACCCAGCACTACGTCTGCATGACATAGATTTTAGCATATTTTACTAAAAACCACTACTTTGCTCCGGACAAGGCATGACTTCCTTTTCCCACTTTTCTAGCATTTTAGAACTTCACAGCATGACAAATCTCATTTGGGAATTAGTTTCTTCTCTTCTTCTGGGGCCTTATCTGACCATTTACTGATATAAAACCTGTGGGTGGTTCTCGGCTGCAGCAGGATAGCTTCCTAGGAGTGCTGGATTGGGCTGGTTATACTCCCCTGCCCACAGTTGCTCCTCTGATGATAAAAATCAGATTAAACTCTGTTTAAGCTTCATTGTAAACCATGTAAAGAAATTAACCAGTGGAGAGCAAGTTATTAGCTCATGAATTATTTGTTTCAATTTGCATAAGACGCTGTACCTGTTCCATGGTTGTCAAGATCCAAGGCCATGAAGTTGTTAAGGAGATTGATCTGTTTGGACAGAAAACTGAGGCATTTAATTAAAGCATTTAAGTACTGAAAGGCAGCAAACAGCATGATGTAAATCTAGAAAACAATACAAAGCAAAATACCAGAAGTAATATGGCAGTAGTAGTACTAAACCAGAGAGAAGTGAAAGTAGACTCTAAGCAATACTACACCTCATTTCCTGAGGGGAAGTACTCTGTAGGAGAGCTGTAGATATCTGGAATCATGTCCAAATCGTCCTGGGGGTCTTGTGTTGGCAGACTTGGATGATTCTCTGCAGAAAAAAATAAATAAACAGACTTGCATAAATTTGCACTTAAAACTGTTCCATGTGTCAAGGCTTGGATTAAATGGCGTGGTCTTACGCTCAGTGTTGATAATCTCATAGATTTTATGAGGGTCGTCATTATTCTTAGAATTATCCTTTATCATCTTAAAGCGCTCTGAGAGGTTGTTGAGGGCACAGCGGAAGTTGGTTTTCCACCGGGCCTTGTCATTAGGGAACTCGTTGATTTTACCACTTGCTACTGCCCATGCCTGTGAACCAGACAGAGAAGTAAGATGAGTGACTGTATTAGCCAGAGGTAATACATAAATCATTTAGGTACTTCTACTATGCTTGACATTTTGTGAGACTAAATGTCTACTTCTCTACATGTCAGAAATACTGTACTTTGTACTCCACTACATATATATATATATGTAATAGATGATATTACTAGTTATCTTGCAGTTCAGGATTTTACACACATTGTCTGCTTCAGCTTCATCTGGATCAGCTACAACAAGACACTGCTTATTTTTATTGTTTACATACAGCTTACCTCCAAACAAATGAGGTTGCCCTACCCTGTAAGAAGACATTGTACTGGATGTCAGAATCACTGAATGGCCTTTCCTTACAGGGACTGACACTGGTTTATAATTTCACCTATTTGACAAATACAAACTATGATGTTGCATCACAAAAGTAATATGAGTTTTTTTCCAAATGACATGTTCAAACAAAATGACTAAGGGGCCATTCTTCATTATACTAATATATTATACTCAGATTCATAAAACAAAATACACTATCAAGTTACTCAGCAGCACTTCAGTTTATAAGTATATAAAGTTAACATTAGCTCTGCCTTTAGTATTAAATGGGATGGACACAATAATGAATCAGTTAAAATACAGTATGTTATACATTAATGTGAAATACGTCATTCTATGTAAGTAATTTTATTTTATGTTGATGCTAATACCTTTGTGCTTTGGTATGCAGGACATGTACTTATAACTTATACTTTTACACTGTGACATTGCTGCTTTTACTCGAGTAAACTCTTAATACTTATTCCACCACTGACTGCGGTCACCTGTGTCACTGTCACTTTTACAGAGACTCCCACAAGAAGTGTTTGTGACACAATACTTAAAGGTTTTACCTCAAGCTATTGTAAATTCAAAGACATTACTGCAGTTTTGTCCAACAAAGTCCACAATATGTTATATAATCGTGCTGCCAGATAACACAAGAACTGCAAATGGTGAGTTCAACACAGGTTAGTAACCATACCCGGAATATTTTATTGTCCTCGTCGTTGCAGTCCTTCCGGGAGTTGTGCTTCCAAGGCACTCTGAACTTGTTTTGGCCCACATAGGAAAGACCTGCGTACTGGCCCGTCTCCACCTGCTCTATGAGCCAGCTGGCAAACTGAGGCTTTGGGGGGCTGACAGGAGACATAACACATCAAACATATCTCACAAGTATTTCGGCATAAATTAGAAACACACACACACACGGGATCAGCTTGTACAGCACTGAGGTTTTGTTTTGCACATATCCAGAGAGAGAGAGAGAGAGAATACGCATGCAACACCGTGTTAATCCTCAACATAACTTGGACAAACAAGAGTCATCAACACCTACATTACACAAACACAGCTGATTAAGTCTATACACACCAGGTCGGAACTACTTCACCATATATGTGATCAACTGAAACATTTAAGGGGGTCTGAATACTTTCCATACCCACTGTATATATAATAGATGATATTACTAGTTACTAGTTGCCTTTCCTTTCCTTACAGGGACTGACACTGGTTTAAAATTGGACCTACTTGACAAATACAAGCTATGATGTTGCATCACAACACATATTTTGATTTCATGACAATGTAAAATGTCAGGTACTTTGTGCTGCATTAATGTGCGTGGTGAAAGTCTATAAGCCTGTTTGACTTTACACGTATCTTGGAGACAAGTGTTTTCTGTGGTCAAACCATGTCCTACATTAGTGATGACCCAAGGCATCATAATGTGTATACTCTTTTAAAAAATGCCTCTCACACACATGCCCAGCTTAGCATATGTGTCAGGAATAGAGAAGTGATACATGTTCTATTGCAGAGCTTCCCTTTTACACACACATTGGAAGTACTGCTTAGATATACATATTGGACTTCCCCTGTAGAACGCGCAGGCTTCATAGCTGTGACTGAGGAGGGATGCAGTCTGGTTACTGAAAGACCGCATAAAAGGTTCACATCCTATTTCACAATTTTATTCACAGTACAAATGCAATATTAGTAATAAGTTTGTGTGTAAAGCCAAATAGTACAATAGAATTTAATGGCAGAACATGGCCATTCATATGTGACACAGAAAACTAAACTGTTTTGCTTTGAAAACAGGTTCTAATCTCCTAGTGTGACGTCACAGTGGCCTGTAAAATGAACCTGAGTGGGACAAAAGGGACTCTGATTGCCAATGTAAACACACCTATTAAAATAATACCCTGGAGGACAAGCCTATAGTGATTAGCCACAGTTAAAGTTTAACATGTTTGCTTTTGAGAGGTGATTGCTAGCTACATTTTCCTTCATCGTTCACATCTCTCTCCTTATCTCTCTGTCTGTCCTGGACACCCACACACTTACTCATCCTTCTCTCATTCTCACCCTTGTATGTGTCACATGAGGCTTTGCTGAGTTGTGACATGAATTAGAAAGCTTCTTTAAAAAAGTGGTGGGTGTTGTGAGTTTCAGTGTTTCCATGAGCCTGGATCTCATAAACAGCCACACCTTTACCTGTGTATGTTTCAGACTTGTCAGGTTTCACCTTATTTATGACTGAGAGATAAATACTATTTGTTTATCTGAGATGTGATCATTTTAGTCATAAAAATGTTATGTAATATCAAAGTCTATTGCATTAAATACATAGTTCCAACTAATTCAATCCACCATTGCCTTGTAAGTTTTATTGTACGAAGTTTCTGAGATAAGTGAAACTTGCTTGATTTTCCATTTATTTTAGCGCTTACAAGTGTTTGTTCACACTGTTCCAGATTTGCATAACCAACCACAGAGTGGCTGGTTAAACAAAATTTCCTAACCTATACAGCTAATCTCTGTACTTGTTGCGACACTGAGAGCTTTATCTATTGCTGGCTCAGCTATGGGTCCGGCTGTGTTTTCACACAGCGCCATCTGCTGTTGAGAGGAGCAGATAGACGTAGGAATGAAAGCGGAAACCAGGAAGATGAAAGTGGGGATTTCCATTCAACGCACTGCCATTCAGAGAGGTACTCTGACATACTCTGGTGTACAGGCCATCAAAAATGGGAATGATTGCATAAGCTTGCTAAGTTTGTCTCAAACAACCAGAAAAGGAGGCAAGTTGTATTAATAAATGTATTAATATTGTATTGTATTGTATTTGTGGATGTTGAGGTATGAATTCTATTGTATTATACTGACAAGTGTTTCTAATATTTTGTCCACCCTATTTACATCAACATGAATAGGCTAAATAATCTGTATGATGCAGTTCAGTTCAACAGCAGCCTCCAAAATAACCATAGAGTTGAATCAGCACCTCATGAAGAGGGTTTTATTACAGAGCTGTTGGATTAGACTGCAGGAGGTTTTGCTTGGGGTACCCAATCAATCTGCCAGCTGTGTGTATACTACCTTTTTTTTTTTTTTTATCTATGTTGGTACATTAACTTATTATGTGGACATATGGGCAGGTCACATTTACAAAGGCAGCTTAATTTAAAACACAGAGTTAGTTGCTTTACATAGGTAAAGAAAGCAAAGACAATATTAAAACAAGCAATAAAGGCCAGAATAAAACCAATTAAGATAAAGATAAAGGCTTGTTAACATAAAGATTTATTCATTCATATGTTTGCCCATATACCATCCTATTGTAAGTGTTATGCATATACAATACAAGCCCACGTGTATCATAGATAGAGACTGGTGTAAGTATTTTAATATAGGCTATAATCTGGGGTTTTTGCCACCAGAGGGCGCACATTTCCCGTCTCTAGTATATGGCCATCGGCCGTCAGCCTTTCAACGCGCTCACTGCCAGGCTTTGCTGGTAAGGGGAGTTTTCCATAAACAAAGCGTAGTTCGAAGGTGTTTTTGACAAAACGGAATACATGTAAACTACAAAGTGCAAACCGTGTTTGCACTAATGCAAAATGAGAAGATTGCGATACTGTGTTTAACTGTCCAGTCAGATGTGGTGCTGAAATGCTGCATTCGTGCATCTGCACTTTGAGTTGGGTTTGGCTTTCAGAGTTTGGTCCCCAGGAGCGTGAAACGAATAGAAATGTAAAACACTAGAGACGATTAGTACTCCGATAGGACACAAAACGCTATAGTCTACATGACTGAACAAGACCTTCATTGGATAACAGCGAGTACCGAGTGGATCTGCGGCCACACAGTTGTAATATGCTCTTTCGGACGCCACCCTGTCATAAAGATGATGTTTACTCTTACATTAATAGCGAGCCTAAGCGAACTTTATAATTGCCAATTACTGTGCTCAGAGACACGCTTGGGATTTAGTTAACTCTTTAAAGCTGTAGCCTGGATACAGGAGAGAGCGTCCTTGGTATTTGTGGAGGAGAAGGACGGCTGAGGGGGGTGAGACTGATAATTTGAAGACTTGCCCGGGGTACATTGTCAAATTCAAAAGGCATTTCAAAGAACGAAACCATTCACTTTTTCATTCTCTCTTTTTCTGTCTTTTCCCCCCTAATTTCTTTCTTTTCGCACGGTTGCAGGCCGTTTGAATTGACCAATGGGCCTTCAAGTTAGAGACATTGGAATGTAAATGAGCTCAGCGCGTGCTCCCGGCGCAGTGAAAGCTCGGGATTGTTTATTGAGCTCCCGGAGCCACGCGCCTGGCGGAGTCGGTGTGCAGAAGAATCACACAGCGGGGGCGGGGCCTCGCGACGAAGCGTGCGTCTCCAAAAAGGGGTGGGTGGGGTGTGTGTCGGGACGCGTGTTGAAAAAGAGGAGTGCTGCCAAAGTTTGGGTCAGATCGGCTCGTGGAGTGAGCAGTCAAGAGAGACTTGGACTAGAGTTAGCCACACGGTCCCCACGCGAAGGACACGAGAGCTGTACACTGCCAACCCTTTCCGTTCTTCCTCCTCTTCCTGTCCCAGCGTTTGAGGCTGCAGTCGCCCTCTCCATCCATCATTTCACAGGAACTATCAGCAAGATGGAAACTACAACCATCACCAACACGCAGACTGCATTCACCTTTGGACTTACTGAAAGACGCGCCAGCATAACCCTGAGCGCCCCGGCCCAGGACTGCACAGTCCCCGCAATGCACGCCAGCACCGGCGCTGTCGGCTACCAAAGCAAAACCAAGGTGCTGAAGAGACAGCGCTCCAACTCTCCGGAGCTTCTGCGCTGCAAGCGGCGCCTGAGCTTCAACGGCCTCGGCTACTCCATTCCTCAGCAGCAGCCCGTCGCCGTGGCTCGACGGAACGAAAGAGAGAGGAACCGGGTCAAACAGGTCAACATGGGTTTCCAGACGCTGCGTCAGCATGTCCCCAGCGGCGCCGCCAACAAGAAGATGAGCAAAGTGGAGACCCTGAGATCTGCGGTGGAGTACATCAGGGCTTTACAGCAGCTTCTGGACGAACATGATGCTGTGTCAGCAGCTTTCCAGTGCGGGCTGCCATCCCCGACACTTTCCAACAGCTACTCCGCCGATCCGGAGTCGCCTCACTCCACCTACTCATCAGATGAAGGCAGCTATGAGCCTCTCAGCTCTGAGGAACAGGAGCTGTTGGACTTTACAACCTGGTTCGACAGGTACTGAGGCTGACAGCATCAAACCCACGCAGCAGCGTTTGTGCTTAAAATGCTGACAGACTTGATCAAGGCATCAGATCAGTCTCTCCCTCTGTGGTTGGAAGTGATCTGTTGCCTCCCTCCCTCAACCGGGCTGCTTCTCCAGAAGCAAAGCAATAGTGAGAAAGAGAGAGAGAGTGTGTGTGTTAGAGAGGGAGCTACTTGTTGCATAGAGCATAAATAGTCAACCCGAAGTCCCCACAAGAAGGAGGAAGTTGGGCCCGGTGTCAGGCTCACGCGTGGAAGTAAAGAACTGTTGATGTATGTTTGAATAAGTGCAATTAATACGCGACACAGCAGCAGGCTCTGCATGGACGGTGCTTGGACTTGCACTTGTTGGATGAGCGTTTCATCAGAGCAGGACTTCCTTCCTCAGCTGCCACGTCTGTTGGAAGAGCCAACAAAGATAATGCGTCAACAGACTTTCTCGTGATGTACATTTTGCCCCTTTCATAACAAAACTGTATCACTGTTTTAACATGAAGACATATTTTTGTACTTTGAGTCAGACAAACAATGTTCTTGAACAACATAAACTGCCACATTTCCTGACTGTTTTCACAACAGGTTGTCAGTGGAACAGTGTGAGTTGTGTGACTGGACAGCAATATCAAGACTTCTACCTGTGACAGATTGTAGTTGTGTTTTTTAATAGGTGGTAAGGAGACCTTTATTAATGTATGCACTTGTTCTCCACTTCCCGTAGCCTAAAATGTAAATATTCGATTTTAACAGATATATTTTGTGTAAAACAAGTTTTATAAATAAAGATGATTCTATTTATATTATATGCTTTTGCAGTGGTTTGGTTCTTCAGGTGATATTGCATACATTTATACTCAGACATGTGTGTTAAAGAGGGGTGTGTGTTAGTGGCGGCGGTAATTGAGCAAACTAGGGAGCTTCTCATCCATTCAAAGCCCCTGCATGACCTTTTCCCGACTTGGTTGGGCACACGGGGGAAAATTACGCAGCTGGGTGAACACTCAATAACCATTATAGACGTGCACCTTCTACAGCGCTTTGTCTGCATTCAGGACGGGGAGATTAATATTACGTTTCATGCATTGCATTGTTTCTTTTGCATACTCTGCCTTTACCCAATAGCCCAGAGGGCCTGGGGCGGGGGGAGGAGGGGTCCAATTCACCCCACTCAAAGGGTATAGACACTTTGAAATACGGCCTGGGGAAAGTCAGGAAGACAATGAGTGGGGTCAAAATTCGTATTACCCGATTGAGATCAATCTAAATAAAACCTGGGGTTGTAGACTCGTTGCATCCCCAACTGTGTTTTTCATGGCGCACACAGCCCAATCAAAAAGCTCATCTCCTGCGAAATGGGGAGCACAACACCCCATTGTGAGCACTATTGTGTGCGCCTTTGCGCCTCATTATGCGAATTATGGAGGATCCTCTATTGTAAATAAACACTGATGCCAAATTCAGTGAGGCAGAGAAGAAATAACGAGTTTAATTTCACCTGGTGCTCTCTGTGGGAGTGGAAAATTGGGAACAAGAGAGGCTGATTGAAGCCACTCTTATAGTCCTAGTGTTTTATAATACATAAAAAAAGAAAACTGAAAGACATTGTATATGAACCAGGATCAAGCCAAATAAAGAAAAGAATACGCGAGATAGTAGCGGGACAAACAGCATAACTTTCACAAGGGGGCCTTTGAATTTCTGTCAAAAGTAACAAACTGGAAGATGTGTGGGAAACGCAGTTTGCACCCGCGTGTGCATAACGTAAATTTACTCTGCATCTCTCTTTCTCTCTCTCTCTCACACACACACACATACACACACACACACACACCCACCCTGCAGCCTGCAGGTGTAAGCCACGTGCCTGTACTCGGTGACAAAGGCTCTGCTGCTCCCACTAGTTAATGGCATGTGCGCTCTGTCGATCAAGGCAGTGACAAAATCAAACAAGTGATAAATGACGCTCTGCTTTATAACGTCCTACGTCACACGGACTCAAAAAGACAATCAGTGTAGGGCGCAAAATACCCCGCTGGTCCATTATCATAGGGGTGAAATGGTGTTTCTGATGTCCTTCAGTGTCAGGCAGAGGCCAGGCCACATGTCCTCCCAGGTCTCATGTCCTCCCAAGATGGATATGCACTTTCCCCCTCAGCCACATAGGGAGGACCAGGGGAGAAATAGATTCATTCATGCCATTTTGTTCATGGGTCATTTTCACTTTGACAATAAGTGCGATGTTAATTTTGGCGTTATCCTGTGCTGAATAATCAGTCTCATGGAGTTCATTTATGCATGCGTTTTCGTGCGCAAAGACATGCGTAAAACATGGGTGAGGGATAAACTGACCAAGAGTTTTGTCTTGTTAAACTCATTTTGCATGTATAGGAGTCCATCCATCTTTTCAGTGCGCAATACTGAACTAGTTTTAGTGTCTACCTTCGTGGTTTGTATGTTTTGAGCCCGTCGGCAAAATCGTTTGCCAGGCAATATTTACACAACAGTCTAACTGCCACTATTTACAAAACTTTTTCTCTCTCACTGCCTTCCACTTTAATCAAAATACTGTAAGCATCTCAGTGTGACTCGTTTAGAATTACAGGCTCAGAATGATCATTTAGCAAAAAAGTTTATTCTAAAAACATTAGCTTTTTCAACATATAAAAACCAGACAAGATATATGATGCCCAACTGCCCAAACATGAGATAACTGACCCAGTGCTGACTGATTGTTTGTTCTTCATTTGTTTTGATGTTTGTTGTTACTGAGTTAACTGATATGAACTGAGAAAAGTGCCTGGATTCAATTTGCTTTCCAGCAATGTTGTTTCTTTCCAAAGGGAAGGAGTAGTAGTTTATCTTGGACAACACAACACAACACATCTGGGTATCAAAGTTGCAGCTGTGATGAGTTCCGTTTTCTGTGGGGATAGGATTTAAAGTGGATTCCAGTCTTCATGCTTGCTCTGTTGTCATTTTTGTCCAAGAAAAAAGACTTATCAGACATGCAGTATATGAATGAAAGGGAGCCACCTGTCACAGTCATCGCAGGCTTCTGATGGTAAACTAACAATAGGTTTTAAGCATATTCTAACTGTATATATTAAGTGAACTTGACTTGAAATCAAAAAAGTTGGTTTTATGAAATCATATTTGAATGTGCTGAGATGAAAGGGGGAGGTGCAATTGCTTGAAGTTATTCTAGCCTATGAAGATGCTAACACTTGGCTTGTCACAGCTCAGAGCCACATCTACCTGTAGAGCAACAGGTGCATCAGAAACCAGAGACTATCTGTCACTGGACTTACAATATGGGGAAACCCCATTCTGCCTCATTATGCATGACTTTATTCTATAATAATCAAACTTGTTTATATCTCAGATTCTTTAATAATTCACAATTACTGCAAATTAAATACATATTCAAGATCTTTTTACTATGCTTAAGAGAAACAACATGAGTACTTTATGTTTTCCACAGAAGTAAACTTCAGTGAAACCACTGACATTATTTTCACAGGTTTTCTACTGATTCAGACAAACTACACAACGCACAAAGCCATAACTGTTCTGTGAAATGCTGCTCAGCTCCATAACCAGAGAGGTGAAAATACAATAAATACAGCTGAATAAAGGAGGGATAGCAAGAGACAGAGCAGTGATGTAGCTGGATGAAGAGATGGTGACCAACCTTGGGTGATGCTTGCAGAGGAGTTCATGTTTAAGCAGAGTCACAGGCATGTTTACATTTATTATAGGAATCATGCTGAACTGCTTTGGAGCAGACTCACGTATATATACAGGGCTGTGCAGCTGGTTCACACTTCACACCCAAATCTGTTGACCTTTTGGCTGTTGATTGAGTAAGGTCGTGCTTAGTGCAAGTACTATTGAAACAATAGTGTTTGCAGTAATCACTGCTGCCACTACTCTTTGTTTGGTCTGATAGAACTTTTGGTCAGTACAGTATTTAACTAGTGTGGATGCTAACATCTGCTGTAAGCTGAAGGTTCCTGGAAATTTGGTTCTTGGATTCAAATTCAGACTTCAGTGTTACAATTTCCCATTCCAGAGTGGGAGATGTGCATGTACTTCAGAGGGTTGTCCATTGCACTGAATATGATGACCTACTGTTACTGAGTCTTCATATATGAATTTAAGGAATGAATTTGTAGCTCAGTCCTTCTTTGTGCCAAAATGGGTCCATCACATCATCATTCTGATCATTTCTGTCAGTGCAGAGAAACAGTGGGCCCCTCCAGTAGCCTGGAAGACCTCTTTTCTGCACCAGGAGTTTTACTAAATAGAAGTTTTGCTTACAGCCCCCAAGTCGCTCTTACTTTCTGACAAAAAAGTCAGTCATTCGATTCATGTTTTTCCTCTGTCTTTCTAAAACCAGAAACCTTTCTCTTTTCAAATGAACGCAAAAAGCAGTTTGAATGTGTGCAGCTCAGCACTTTTAACTGACACCTCTGTACATGTGTGAATAGGCCCTAAACCTCAGACAACCCAGCAGAGGAGGAACCAAGCTCAGGCCTGAAGAGTGGAGAGATGGAAGAGGTGGGGATGTGTGGTAGGGTGGAGGTGGCGGGGGCTGTAATTTGCATGGGCCATTGTGCTGCACAAGTTTGGGTGCTTTTTTTTTTTGGCCTGGGCCCTTTTGGCCATTTACTTCCACTCTGGCTGGCTGTGGCGGGCTCTGAATAGTCTCTGCTCGGAGGAGACACAAAGGTGCTTTTGTGCTACACCCGCACCATATTCATCATGTAATGCCTGTAAGACAAATCTGATTGGATGTCTCTGTCACTTTGATGTGGGTCCAGAGTGCGAGTGGCCCCGAGATTGCTAACTTTACTCTCTATTCCCTATTCTGCACCATTGATATGGGGGTGGAGGCAGGAGGGGTGGCTCCTGGATAGAAGGAGGAGGGAAAAGGGAGAGCAGGCAGGGGGTAGTCCTCATTATTTGGAGGAGCAAATTCATAATAAATTTCCCCATTCTACAAAACAGGGTCGAGATGATTGACACTACTTTATGCCAGACTGAACAAAAGCCCTGATTTGAGCAGAATACCAAATGAATGGGGTGAGTGTGGACTCAATTCAAACAATTTTAATCTCCCCCTGTCCTCCCGTATTCCTTCTCTCCTCCTCTCTCCCCCTTTCCCTCCCACTTGCCCTCTTTTTTCAACTCCTACTCTCCTGCCTCTTTTGTCCACAGCATTCTCATTTTACAGGGTAATTCTACTCCAACGGATGTGCTAATTGTGCTGAGTTAAACTGGATGCTGGTGGACTCCTGTGATACGGAGCTTATTCTTGCCTAATGACTGTAATGATGGCTCAGAGAGACTGCAGCCTGCAGTGTGGAGTGGACTGCTTGCACAAAGCTTAAGAAGATGTTTTTTTTTAATAACTCATGGGGGTGGGTTGGGAAAGAACAGCAGAGCTCAGGCTGAGGCCTATGGTTAAGTGAAGGAAAGAAGATTGGTGGACCTGTTGATGGGACCATAAATTGGAGTTGCCACTGAAATAATGGCATGGAAGATGCCTTTAAATACAGGAAATGTACTGGAACTGCAGGCGGATGTCATCTTGAGTCACAAGCTGAGACTGAAGCTGGTGATGGAGATAAACCTTGATGTGACTGGCAAAAGGAGAAACATACGTGGCATACAAATAAGAATAGAGCCAAAGATCAGCTGTGGTGATACAGAATAATTTAGGACCAAGAT